GAATAGGTTTGCTGACTCTTGGCCTAGACTACTAATGAGTGATGTTTGAGTAATTTGCTCAGACCTCTCATTTCAGAGATGAGAAAATGAAGACACTAATCTTATTAGGAGTGAAGGGTTCCATGTTGACAGCATGGGACAGACTAAAGAGAAATAGATGGGCTCTTACAAACTAGCCTCTCCTGGATTGGGGCAGGGCCAGCAGACAGGAATGACTAGCAATGAAGCACCTATACCCTGAGAAGTACAAGGGAGGCAGAGTTATAATTCTAAGAATTCCTGGTGAGGTTTCCAAGAGGCGGTAACGAGGATGACACCTGGGATGGAACCAAAGATTAGGGGAATCAATGACAGGTGTCTAGGTCCCACTGGTAGGGACATGGAAAACTAGATAGGATTTCCAGCAACAGCTGTGCTTGGCTTCTGGGGGCTGGGCCATGTGGGAGTTAGTGGTATGTGATGAGTGTTAGCTCTGACACTAGGTTATAAAAGACTGCAGCTTCTGTCTTGGGGTCTCTCTTTCTCCCTCTTTGAGATCATTCTTAAGGCACTCTCTTATGGGGTGCATGGAATCAAGAGGAAAGGTAAATATGACACCAATCACCTGGTCCTTCCATTCTCCTACACCCCTGGCTCAGGGTTGTGATGGGAACTGAGACTTTTTATGGTTTAGTCTACCCATCCCCACTCTCCATCCCCAAATTCCCATCCATGAAAACAAAACCAACTCCCTACTGGTCCCTTTCTCTCAAGACAGTCATAATGAAATGCTAGGGGTGGGATCCTAGGTGTAGTCCTTTTTGGTTTTTTGGATGACTTCTTTTGAAGAGAAAAAAGAGTTCTAAGCACTATTGCCACAACTATTTCATCCTACTTAGGGGGAAATTTAAAGAAATCAGAACATTATTCTGACTGGATTAGGTTGGCCAGCGTGAAGCTGTCTTTTGAATAGTAATGCACTTTGAGCCAAATGCATTCTCTATCTGAACCAGAAAAATTAGAATGGGCTTGGTTTGAATGGGATAAAAACTCCGCAGAAACCTGGTTTGCCTTTGTCATCCAGCATCCATGCTGAGAGTCACACCCATAAAACCTTAAAGGCTGGGTCTGTTGACTTCCTGGTCTCTGAGGAGTACCACGTGTCATGGTACTCGGAGTCTTTTTCAAAGTCAACATGCTACCAGCAGAAATTTATTTTTGGCTATGTATTTATTCATTCACTCTTTAGACATTTACTGAACATACATCAGTTGCTTACTTTCATGAGGTACCAGGAACATAAAAAAGAAGTTAACCTCTGCCCTTGAATGGCTCACAACCAACCTAGGTGGGGGCAATTCAGACATAGTAAAAGGAATTAATGTGCCAGGAGGAACAATAAGAGTACTTGGAAGGGGTTATGAGGATAGTTTGGTAATTTTTGATATTCACGGAAACATTCTGAGTCTTATAATAATAAATCACTCATTTAGCTCTTATAGTCACGGCTTGATTTTTACTGAACTAGAAAAGATTACTTTATATATATACATATATATATGAAATTTCTACAAGGAGAAAAATTATAAATCCATTTTCTCATTAGAGTGGTAGTGAAAATAACTAAAATTGTAGGTGGACACAATTCAAATGCAAATGTAAGTGTGTTTCATAACTACTAGAAAATTTTCAGAGCAGAGCTTATGCACATACTGCATCACCATAGAGTTGTTACATCATTTCAGCAAGACAGAACCTAACAGAAGTACTTTCATATTATCTTCTAAGAACCAAGACATCAATCATTATAGCATCCATAACTTCGGAGAGGTTTATATTCAAACATGGTATCTATTACAGATTTTTTAATAATTCGATTTTTTTGTACTGATACTGTATTTGGAACAGCTAGTTCTATTTAAAACTTAGTATCTATTTTTTAAAATTTATAATTTCTTACATAGCTGGGCAACAATACTGAGTTATTTCGGTGATATAGGAAGTGAGGCCATTAGACCCATGTTGGTTGATGGGGAGAAGTGCAAAGTTTTGGGATTGTCCACTAGGTAGGGGATAAATGCAAAATCTGAAATCTGAATTTAAGGAGCATTGAAAATACCTCCAGCCACGGAAACTCTTGCCACTAATTTCTCTCAAAACCATCTGCAGATGTGTGCATATTAATTGGCTTTCGGCATTGTTACCTAAGAGGAGTAACACATTAGATAGCTAAAATTAGAAGGCCAAAATTAAAAAAAAAAAGAAAATACACAGCTTGGTGAGCCAATGTAGATGGGGTGTTACAGCAAAGAGACCCTCACTGCTGGACAGGAGGGATCCTTAATCTCTGAGATGTGAGGGGCAAAAAGTGCTTAGGGCATATTATTGAAAAACTATGCTGCCTCACTCTTACGTCTAGATCTGTGCGCAGAGAGGTGAGCGCTAGTCACCATTCACACTGCCCTGCACGTTTACAGCATGCTTTTCTTTTCATGGATTTGAATACATCAATGATCCTGGTGATGAGTGAGGGGGAGATGGAAGCCAGGAGAATTGGAAGGCAGTTGGCTTTCATCTGTCTTATTTGTTTAAGTTTAGGGGGAAAAAATTTTCCTTCAGACTTTAAAAAAAAATCGTAATTGGAAATGCAAACAATGAAAATAAAAGCTACAGTTTACAGAGAGCTTGCCATGCACTAGGCACTGTAGTGTTTTAGGTGCATCATCTCATTCAATGGCCCCTGTGCTTCTTCTGCCTTTCCTCAAACAGTAACAATCTCTTCCAGAACAGCTAGTTCACCAGCTCATAGCTGCACCATAAAGGGATTCCACTTTATTGCAATTCCAAATTAATAAAGTCTCCCTCACTCTTGACCTAGAGGAGCTTTGAGATTGTGAACACAGTGTTCCTGAGCATCAAGGAAAGTTGTGTCCCTTTCTTTCTTACCCAAGGCCAGGCTTAGACAAAGGAGACTATTCTTTGCCAGGCAGTCCTGGACACTTACCATTGTAAGAGGAACGGCCTCAGTACCATCTCTACTGCTGGAACTGCAAAGTTAAGATCTGCACCTGCCCTAGTCCCACCTCTCTGTTCCTCCAGGTCCCACCTGCTTCTTGGATTCAGAGCCCTCACTTATCTCGTGCTATCCAGTGCCAGGGCCGGAGAATGGCTTTCCCGCGTCAAGGCCCTGCCCAAGTTAACACCCTGAGATTCCTGGGGCTCCGGCTCTGTGCTGTCTGAGGCGCATGTGTAACAAGGCCGATCTGTCTGGGATGCCTTCCAAGAAGCCTGATGCCAAGGGGAAGACCTGAGGAAAGACACGGACGTAGGAGCCTCAAATATTGTGAGTGGTTCACTATAGAGATTTTGTTGCTTTTCAGGGGAACCTGATCTCCTCTACGAGGTAGATGGAGGCTCAGACTCACTGTTCTTTAGGCAAAGAGATGCTGCAATTCTATTCCTTTCAATGAGCTACTCAGGAGGAGCCGCTTAACACTCAGGGCACTTCCGCTTTTTAAGACCCATCCTTCCCTTTCTTTGTTTTTCCTTCCTTCACTCCTCGGTGTATTTTCTCCTCAACGTGGCTTTTGTTGGTGGTATTTGGACGGCTGTTTTCTCTCCTCAGGGTGTGCTCCAGGGTTTGATCTGATTGTCCTGCTGTTCCCGTGTCACTTGGCATTATGATGAATGGGATAGGGGTCAGAGTTCAGCAAGAAAGCATCTGTTCGCCCGCACTGCGTAGTAGAAGTGCTCAGAGATGCTCTTTAATGAAAGCTTGGAGCAGATTTGCATAGAAAAGGCTATCTTCTATCCCTCCAAAACTGGGGGACCAAAAGGCAGTCCTTATCTGGAGGGCCCAAAAATGACTAAAGAGAAGTAGGAATATCTTAGGGGAGTCCCTGCATGGGATGTCTTTTCTTCTGTAGGAGAGGCAAGGTGGGGCAGGAGGTGTGCGGGGAGTGTGCGTGGCGGTTTAGAAAGACAGGGTGATTAAACCGGGAGGAGGTTGAAAATGGAAGCTCTTGGACAGCCTGGTCCTGACCACTGACCTGTTTTGCTCGTTGAACGATCTCACCAAAGAAGAGTTTCCACTGCCACTTGCAAAGCCTCCCACTGAGCATGTGCCTTGGCCTCAGGTTACTGCGCCGTGGCCATGGCGGGCTCAGGTTCTCTAACGGACTTTCCTCACCGTGACAGTTCTTCCACTTCCCCGAGTAGCCGGAATCCCCACTTACTAGGGGCTGCGTCGGCATGGGAGGAAAGGGGGGATAATGGCTCTATTGTTCCTTTAGCCTTATCAGATGGGGCAAATGTCCCCTTCATCTAGCCCTGTCGCCAAACACGGAGTACGGACCCCTCAGAGCCTCACCTTCCTTCCACTCCGACTTTGTTCTATGGAGGAGGGTTTCTGTGTGCCCCTCGCCGCCCTCCCTCCATCAAACCTACTTTGGGACCCGTGAGGACAGTTGCCTTTTTCTGCTTCAGAGTGGAAGCTGAGAGGGTAAGAGAAAAACACAGATCAGAAGACTCATTTTAGTTCAGGTTGGATCTGCCTCCTCTGGTTCCTCCTGGACCCCTGGGGAGACGCATGGCCAAACCCAGCAGCGCAGCGGCGGGGCAGAGTCCACCCGACCCCCGCGCAGGCACTAAATACCCAGCGAGGACAGCCCGGCGTCACCGGACTCAGAGACGAAGCGGTCTCCCAGGCTTGGTCGGGATCTCATCGCCGCTTCCCGCCCCGCGGGCTCCAGGGAGTCCCCGCGCAGGGCGCACCTCTGCTGTTGGTTTTCCCTGCTGGGAAGCCAGCCGAGCCGCCAGCTGCTCGGGAGGCCGCAGTCTTGCTCGCCGCCAGCGCCGGCTCGCTCTCCAGCCTCTGCCGCGCTCGGGAGTGAGCGCTCAGGGTCCCTCTCTGAGCATGCGCCGCCCGACACCGCCACCCACCCCCGCCCTCTCCGCCCCCTCCGCCCCCTCCCCGCCAGGCTTTTGCTCATTCCTTTCATTAAACAAACGGGAGATCCTGAAACCTGGACCCCGTGCAAGCGGCCGCGCGGGGAGGAGGCGGAGGCGGGTCCGAGCGCGGGATGGGCGTCGAGGGGGAGCTGTGATCCCGCGCACCCCCGCCCCACGCGCGCGCACATACACACACTCGCACACACGTACTCCCGCGCGCGCGCGCACACACACACTCACACACACTCGCACACACTCGCACAAACGCACTCGTACACGCCCGCGCCGCGAGCTGGCCGGCTTGCTCTCCCACGCAGGCAGCATATAGCAGAGCCTGGGGAGCGTGTCCGGCCGCTGCCTGGATGCACCTCGCTCCCGGATGCCCGACAGCCCAGTAGGGCTCAGGGAGGTCGCCCCACTACCAGAGGTGAGTAGGGCGCCCGCAGCCGCCGGCCGCTCCGCGGCGCCGCGGCTGCAGGGGGCAGGTTCCCGGCGCCACGCCGCGGCGCAGGTGGCTCAGAAGCAGCTTGTGGGGTTTCAAGGTGCAGATGAAGGCGGCGCTGGGGCTGTGCAGGGGAAGAGGGCGATCCCTGGGGGTCGCCGCCTGCGAGGTGTCAGATCAACGCAGCGGAAAGCTACAGCTTCCTTCTTCGTAAACTTTCCTCCCCCGTCATTTGGGAAACGTGGAGACAAAGGGGGCGTGGAGGCTCCCTGCGTCCCGTTCCACCCCCCTGGCTGCGGGCTGCGACCGGAGCGGCGTGCGGGCGGGGGCGCCCTGCAGGTACCTGGTGCTACGTCCACCCGCCTGGCGGCGGTTGGGCTTTCTCACCCTGAGGTGTAAGCGGTACCTTTGATTTTCCCTCAGACTCGGGCACCTGTCGTCCTTCCCTCCCCGCCCCCCACCTCCCGTGCACCCTAGGCTCATCGTAGTGTGTGGGTGTGGGTGTCACCTGGAGAACTGGAGGGGCAGCCTTTGGCTTTCTCCTTCAGTGCCAGTGCCAGAGTCGCCAGGGTGAGGCTTGGGTCAGTGCAGGCATGAATGATGAGTTCCTGAAAGGCTTGCCATAATCACCTCCTAGAAACGTTGGGTGCCGGGCTCCCTCCCCCCCTCTCCCGGGAAGGTGCTGTCTTCACGCACACCAGGGCGGCAGCGAGGGAGCTGGGCTGGACTGCCGCGGTGGCTGCTGCAGCTGCGGGAAGCTGGGGCTTTATTTTTGCCCTGGGGTTTTATGATACACACAGGTGGACTATGTGAAGGATTCTGGGTTATTTTTCTTTGTGGGGATTTGTTTTCCCTTTTAACCTCTTAAGTGGGAGAGATTCTCTGCAGCCTGATACCTAACTGCTGGACAGGCACCGTTTCTGAATATCTCTTCGGTACCAGGGAAGAGGTTCCCAGAAAAGGATGCAAGATGTCACTGGGGCGGAGGTCTCAGAGCGCAGAGAGCCAGCTGGCACCTGGGAATAGCCTTAGATCTTATGGTCCTTTGAAACAGCAGAGACTGGGTCAGAGACTGGGTGAGGAGTCCAGATCTGGGACAAAGGGGATCAGAAAAGGGACAGTTAAGGCAGGAAGAGGTTGAGTGTGAGGCAAGGTACCTTGCAGCCTTCACTGAGGTCATAGGTCTCTTCTCCCACTTCTTCTATGATTGGTGGCTTTTATTCATGGAATAGGACTCTGACTTGGAGATTTCTGGAATGTCACATCTGGAGTATAAAAAGATTTGATTATTCCTGCAATAATCAATCACAAATTCGTTCTTTAAATCTAAAAGTACCATGTGTGAAAGTTTCTTCGGTCTGGTTTTGTTTATACCTGGAAGGTGGGATGGGCAGACAGATACATTTTTGGATCTTCTATACCTCAGGAATACTGTATTTGTAAGATAAGTGTGTGGGGAACCTGGAAGCCAAGCTGATTCTGACAGAAAATACTAGAAGCTCAGATCCAGTACTTGTGACTATGGGTTTCTTTAAGATGGTAGGTTGAGGCCATCCCTCTGCTGCTCTGGTGACCTTTTTAAGTTTTTATCTTTAATATTTTGTAACTTCTTTGAAGTGGAAAAAAGCATGATATACATAAGGCTAACTGAGGAAGTACACCTATGAAAGAGACCTTGTAAGTCAACATAGCCAAAGGTAAAGAAAGTTTTGAGGAGGGCATTGGGAAAGTAATACATATTATTAAAACAGCTCTGTTTTTATGATTTTTAAAGAGTTTGGTAAGATAGAAATTTGAACGTTTTTTAATCTTTTTTTAAACAACTAGTAAATAAAGATCTTCCCAGAAATATTTTCAAGTGGAAATTGGCATAGAGGGGGTTTAAATACAATTGTCAGCATATGTCCTTTTTATTTCATGGTGAACATTCTAATCATTTTCTTTGAAAAACTTGGCAAGAAAAGGTTAAGATTATTTTTCTTTTTACTAGAGCTATTTTCTCTATGATATATTTCCTCTTCCTATACCTGCAGGTTCAATTCATTTGGTTATATTCAGATTCTATTTATAGGTATTTATTGTCCCTCTACTCCTATAGTTAGCATCAAAGGTCATATAAAAATATAGACCATAGTTTTGGTCCTCAAAGGGCTTATGATCTAGTTTTAAATACAAGACTAACCATGAAATAATTAGAAAGAAGGATAGCTCTGTACTATACTGGGAGCTCTTAACATACATACTATTTTCTTCATCCTCCCTCCTGGATTTCCTCAACATTCAGAAGACACACCTCAGCACTTATTATGTGCTGGAAGCTGGAGAAAGAAAACACAAGGAAGTAATAAATAGTCCCATCATCCAAGCAGGGAGAAACAGGTATTCAGCTAACTGTCATGCAGTCTGATAAACTGTTACAATCGGGGGTCAATCAAGTGCCAATAGTAAAGACGTCTAAGTGATTATTTTTCTTCCCTGGGGAGCATTTGAGTAGGTGATCTTTGAGATATTTTGGGAGGATAGATAGTCTTTTACCAGCTAGGGAAGACTAGAAGAATATTAAGGCAGAGGAAATGTGTGAGAGTACCTGGCAAGTCAGGGTAACTATAAACTATCCCATGTGGCTAGAGCACAGGGTGCTGGAGTGTGGGTACAGAGACACAGAGACAAATAGCACCTGGGTGACACTAATTAGCTGATATGGATAGAGATGTGCCCAGGATGCTATGGAAGCACAAAGAGAGGGCATTCACTTAAAGGAAGGTAAAAAGATCAAGAAGATTTCTTAGGAAGCTTGAGGTGATCTGAGTCTTGAAGGTCAAGGAGAAAAAGGCTTTCCAGATAGGAACAACTAAATGAAAGTTGGAAGTAGCTCTGTGTGGCTTCAGCAAGAGATGTGGGATCTTGGCTCCGTGCAGAGGCACTGTCAGGCCAGAGATATAAGGAGAGATCAATTGTGAATGGAAATATCCCAGATAAAAGAGCTTCAATTTTTTCTAAAAGGTTAGCAGAGAGTTAGAAGGTTGGGAAAGTTTGAGCCATGGTCAGATTTGCTCAGAAAACAATGGCTGGGACCACAGTGTGGAGGTTGGATTGGAGGTGGTGAGACCGGACGCAGGGAGTTTATTGTGGAACTATAGGTGTGCAATGATGAGGATGGTAGCATTGGGGAGGTATGTCTGGGAGACAAGTGAGAAAAAGGAAACCCTGCTAATATAAGAAGGAACTCCTTATATGTGCTCCCATACGACCATCTACTCCCCAGCATTCATCACAGGCTTGGCACAGAGTAGGGACTCAAGGAGTATGTATCTAATGACTGACTCAATCAATGAATGAGAAATCCAGTCATGAAGTGGTGATTCCTCCATTAGAATAGCAGAAGCTAAATCCTGACTTCCATTTCTTCAAGGTGACCAACCTTTGGGAGGCCCATGACAGAAGGGCCCAGGGAGACTACCTCTGTGAAGACTTGTCCTGTGAAGGGCCAATAAGAAGGCGTTGTGACAGCACAATTTTTTATATTTAAAAAATCGTATCATTGGTCCATCTTGAAAGCAACAGTGCTTAGCACATTTCCTGGTTCATACTAGGCTGGTGGTAACATGAATCCCTTTTCTTTCCTCCTTCATTGTCAGAATTTCCTGATATCAAGAACTTTGCTCAGATTTTTAAGGCAATATGGGGTCTAGAAGTTTGTAAGCCACAGGGTCTCACTTAAAGAGCTCATAGCATCTTGGCATCCTGGGATGAAGGCAAGACCACCCATGTTCCGACCGTCAACCATGTAGCCCTAGCAGTCAGGTCCCTCACTGGAATTAAACCCAAGCATATTGAGTTCCAATCTTAAAATCCTACTAAAACATGTCAGAATGAATAAAAACTTAAGAGTTTATTTTCAGGTTTCAGTGGATGAACAAGAAGGAGTATCAAAGATAGCAATGTTTTGGCCTTTGCCACAGGTTGAGCGGTGGCAGAGGAATGGGGAGGGAGACTAGCTCAGAAAGGTGAAAGTCTCAATGCTATTTTGAGGGAATTGATTTCGGTGTGAGACTGGAACATCCTGGAAGGTACAGATCCCAGCGTGTAGCGATTTAACATAAATGCCAACGTTATTTTTATTAAGGGAGAGGATGGAGAGGGTCAAAGACTAAGTCCCAGCATTGGCAAAATTTAGAGATTGAGGAGAGAAACAAGTACCCCAGAACACTCAGACAAGGTGGGAAAGACCTGGCATGAAAGCAAAAACCTAGGAGTGGTGAGAAGGGGGAGTCAGACCTAATAGGAGCAAGCCTACCTGTGGGCCAGGCCTTGTGTGAGTGCCTGCATGTGGGATCTTGTTTAATTCCCCACCACCCCTGAGTCCCTTCTCCATTTGACAGCTGAGGCAGCTGAGACAGAAATTCTAATGGCCTGTCCAAAGTTACCAAAGGCAGTAAGTGGCAGAATCAGGTCTCAAAGCCCACTTTAACAATCCTACAAATGGTCTCCTCTCTTCCAAGGTGTACATTACCAGGATGATTTTAAGTGCAGAGATGTTGAAAAGATTGAAAGTAGGGAACTGTAAGAAGATACTGTAGAAGAGTTCTCTGATGACTGTTAAAAAAGAGAGTTTGGTGCAGGAGTGTGCTCAGAAGCCATATTCAGGGAGTTCTGTGGGGAGTGGGAGGTAAATGCAGGCAAGGGGCAAACATACAGTCATTTATGAAGTCTATTGGAGAACTTATGGGGCCATAGGGAGAAGGTACAGTGAGCCTCAAATGCTGTTGTTGTCAAGGGGGAGCACGTGAGGACAGCCAAGGTCCAAGGAGCACAAAAGGTGTGGGGAATGAGAGCAGGAGACAGACAGAGGAAGGATGCCTCTTTCCAAGAATATGAGAAGATGAATTCGAGGGCAGATGTGGGGTGTGGTCCTCTCCCCTAAATCTGAATGGCTGAGGAGCTTACTAAAACCCAGAAAATTCAGATCCTTGAGTATCCTAGAA